AATCATTTTCCTCTTTCCCTTCTCTTTGAGGTGTTAGAGTATAGAGAAGACTTCGGAGTAAGAATTGCCTGAGAACGGAGAAGAAGTTCAGTTTGCTTAATTGACTAATAGACTACAGGTATTATGATATATACAGTGGAATTACAAGAATGAGGTTATCCGGAACCGACTCGACTGCAGAAATAAGTGGGACCCCAGACCAGAAAATAATTATCCACTGACTCAGAATACTGGGTCATGCAATAGAAATACGAACAATACAATGACTGGATTTGTTCGGGAAGAATGGGATTCATGCAGACTCTAACGTTTAGTCCGATTGAATCAGAAGTGTGGGACCCTGCCTGACCTCAGAAATGTAGTTCAGGCAAGATGCATGCAACCACATTGGTCGATAGAAAGAAAGCAGGAAACTGTATTACCATAATGAGGAAATATCGAAGTCCCAATCATCTAACAACTACCTAGGCTAGCTCTTATACCAACCAGACACACCTAGTCATCTAACACGTTGGAACTTCTACTAGCTAATGACCAAAAGGAAAACGGCCAAAGACAAACTTACCGACATCATCTTGAATCATTCTTTTACGTTCTCATAGTCGGATTGGTGAGCTATGCTCGTAAATCAGCTCTAGAACATCTGCAAAGAAGGTCCTTAGCTGATTACGGGGTCAGGTTAATTTTCAAAGAAACTAACATCATACTTCATTTTCAATCAAAAATAATAAATAACTTCACGCCGGTGTTTGAACGTGTTCAGGAGCCAGCATGGAGTCTTTGCGAAATTCTCTTTGAAGATAAATCGGTGGGATACGAGATACAAGACACCGGAAGAACCTAACGTGCTGTATGATCCTCTAATTGGTGCCTTCGATGACACTATCAAGAAACTTGAAGGTGAATAAGTTTTCAATTAACATTTAATTACCGTCCTAGTATTTTGTATGTTTGCTGACGTTGTCTATCATTTTCTATTGCTGGTGTTTGGGAAAGAAAAAAAGATGACTCTATCCGGATTGAAGCATAGTGTTAGAAAAGAATAAGATGAAAAGTGTACCGGTCCAAGGATGACTGTTAGAGAGTTATGCTTGACGAATATTGAAATATTTTAATTATCCTCTTCCCGGATATACGATTAGGGATATTCGTCTCAGTGAATTGGACTGCAATTATCCAAGAATAAATTATCTAAGACAGTGACGCCCTCAGGGCTCCAAACATGCAATGAGCAAGCCAGTGTAGGTGCTAGAACGTGAAACACCTACACGTGACATGAATGCCAATCTAGTCTTGGCATTACTCAGCAAACACCCACACCTCATATATATAGAGCTCGCTGTAGTTACTCCGATTTCTCCTTCCATAGCCAATCTATCTGACATCCCTAAGGCTGCCTCTCTACCATTTTTATACCTCGTGTTTAAGACCCATGAAGTTCTGAGCGAATCGAAACTAAGGAAGGCAAGACTGAACACCTGTACGCGGTGTCCTCTACGAACCTGGGAGTGAAATATTCTCCCAAAGCCAAGTTCAGTCAAATTTTGCAACATCAAAGAAGTTGGCCCACGAGGCAAAAATCCAAATTAATCCTCCACGTCGTTTTTTTCGCTTCCAACGAGTTTGACGCCTACCTAAGTCTCATCAGGTCAACAAGGGCGACCTAGTACATCCTCATCCCAATGACAATACCTCTCGTCGACTTTTTCTGGCCTCAATTGACCACCAATTACACGTCCACGCCGATATTTACACCCGACGGAGGAAGCAAAGCGTGGCGCACAAAACTGGGAGATGGCTCTTTGGGATTGGCGTGAGACGATTCAGGACAAGTTAACATGATGATGCGAAGGACGGATACAAACTCGACGGGCGTGGAATTTTGGATTATGGCAAGAAGTTTTTACAAATTGAGCTCTGTGCGTGCCAAGCCTTCGGTTGCGAGACTGCAGGCGACAATATAAACACCGTCATGGTTGGTTGGTGTGGTGGTACATCCTCTTGGCCAGTCTGCCAAGTAAGATCTGGATAGCTTGGACACATATCCCACTCGAGGCAGTTGATCGTTGGTTCAAATCTGGCAAAACAGAACCACATTTCTCGCGGCGCTGGTATATATGGACGACAAAGACATGCTTGGATAATTAAAGGGTTCGAATTTCCCTTTGGTGGCTACTTGCGGAGGAGGGTCGACTGTTTGTGTAAGTAAACATGACTCATAGTAGTATTTGCGAATGAAATTCAGAGTATGAGTGTCTCTAATGTCAAAAGAGTCATCCCGCATGTATACATAGCACCGGTCATATGTCATAGCTAGATAGCTGAACACACATTAATTGACTTTCAAAAAAAAGGATCGAAACTAACTTGTGTAATCACGTACTATGGTGTATTGAGCATAAAGATCTACTTTTTGGTTGATTAACGTGCTAGGCAATTGGCATCTTCTGCACACCTTTGGGAGCTTGAGCACTTGAATGGTCGTTCTGGATCAAGTTCGCTGTCATACAAATAGAATAAACCGTAGCCCATCTGATTGACAGAAACACATCAGTGCTCACCCATGTGTTGAGCATGTCAAATCCATCACGATCCATAGAACCCGACTCTGATGCACCAAAGCGCAAACTCCTCAGACTCGTCCACCACGCGCCCGAGAACTTGATACTCTCACAATCTCTAGTTTTTCCTTTGCATTATTGACAGTCAATTTGCATCTCAGCATCTCATCGAAGAGTTGTTTTCTCCGTTTACGACTCATCCAGCCACCCACGGAGGCATCCTGATTTTTTCTTCCTTTCTCCTCCTTTGTAGCTTTCCTTAAGTCATCTGTCATTATTTCCATCACATAAACTTTATAGACTCTCCATCTCTCCTGCCTTGTCCCGTCGTTGCCGTAATCTCATCCGTGGAGGACAAATATGGGTCGAAGTGCTCGAAACCGAGACACCGATGACACAGCATTTATCAAACACTTTACTTGATATGCCAGAGAGATGGAATACGTATTTCGTCGAAGGTGATTCGTCGAAGCTCGAGTTTTTAATGCCCTTGTCTGAGGTTGGGCCAAAAGAGGACCGGCTCTCTGACCCTAAATTTACAGCGCGCGACAGTTGCGACAAGATGGATATCCACTTATAGCTTAGATGGCGAGTATGATCCTTGGATCTTGGAGTGCCTTGGTAGGTGGTGAGATGATTGTGGAGGGTCGCGAGCTGAATCAGCCGTGAATGATCTTCCATAAATTTTCGAGATGGTTATTGTAATTAGTTGTTACAATATGAATATCAGACAGGTGTCATCTTCTCTGTGGTGCATGTCAGGGTTGTAGGTAATTTAATTTGTTGAGTTATGTGGTCGTGAAGCCTCTGCCGGTAGGATCCGGGAACAAAAACTTGCCAAATACACTCCTCCCGATCGCCTACTCGTCGATAAATGTCGAATACGCCCTTTATAGTAGCTAAACCCCGGCTAAGGAATAATCGTTCAAGATCTCGTAGAGAAAACTGTTTTAATACAATGCTTTTGATCCTCGGACTTCATGCGAAGCAGTAGCTGTTTAGCAGGTGATGCCATGCGCGAGAAAGGAACTGAATGGTTAAAGCTGCTTTCCGGTTCGAAGTTGTTTGGCCTACTTATAAATGTGAAGAGAGATAGTGTGAGAGAGATAGATGTATATTTATTGTACTACTTAAGTCATAGACTATCTAGCACAATGAGCTCCTCTCTGACCCAGGTCACACCTCGTACAGTGCTCCTTGACTCTCACATTTCTTGAAAGATCATCGTTATATTGCCCTTCATGAGAAGCCATCCAGCTCAGTGTTTACTCGTGGTTTTCGGCCACCTTTTCCACGGAGCCTTCTACCCAAAACGAAAAAATTTTAGCATTGGAAACTGCGTGCGTGGAAAAAAGTCTCAAAAAACCTGCGGCACCAGCCAGGCGGGCCCTAGACACCGGGACTACATGAGGTGCGCGTATTCATCTATATCTCCCTTCTTTGTAACAATCGAGGCCGACTTGATCCAATCCACCATCTCCGTATCTGGTGCTAAGTACGCTCCGGGAACTCATCGCATGGCTTTTACTCCATTATCAAGGATTGGTGATGAGTAGGGCTTCAACCCTAACATTTGGTCTTATCGTAGTTAGCTTCGTGATAATAGTGATACGGGGCTGTGTTGAGGGATGAAGATGATACAGACCGCGAAAGCGTTTGGGAATCCTCGTCGAAGTGAGGACTTTTTTACTCAATCTCGGCTCTATAGACTCTGCTGTGAGACCGGCGGTTCGTAGAGGTATCGTCACCATGCAGATCGTTCTATGTGAAAACACAACAGCAGTTGATCATGATTCATTTTGTGAATTGATGAGATCATCAGGATGAAGGGTTCCATATTCAATTGGTGTAGATAGATTGCTGCTATTACCGCCGCTGTTCATACGAATTTTGCTGAACTACTTTGTTCAGCTTGCGTGATTGGTTCTCACATTCAGAAATTATCAGCCATATTAGCGCCGACATCTCAGAACCCCAGCATCACTCTTCAAATTGCAGCATCCACTGAAACTTTGCCATGAGAATATGCTAGGTCTTCTGAATTGAAGTAATTGGAGGCGAATGGATTAGTAGTTGTGTCTGACTTTTGCCCCACATTTTGGTGATGTGACGCGGATCAGTGACCCCTGCAGCGTCGTATCAACCTTCATGATCAAGCCCTTCGTGTCTAGGGTAACTAATCATTACAGAGAATACGCAGTTAGGACACCTTGCAAAATATATACTGGGCGGGTAGATTCTAAAAAAGAATTATTGATCCTGTTAAGGCGCTGCCTTGTATTATCTAAGCGCTTCTCCTGTTACGCGTTATAATCTGTTTATATCATGTGATCTACACGACTGTAGACAGTTGAATCCTGCCCCTCGATTAAGTCTCCAAGAACTATTACACATCGTAACTTTTTTCTGATTCAATCAACTCTTTGACAAATCTCCAAGATGGAAGTACCGGCAGAATTATTGGCATACACCAGTCGAAACCCACTAGAGGCCATACTCAATCGATTCCGAAGCACTTTTGATACTAGCAGTAACCCAATAGATGGTGAGATTTTATCACTGATTTCAATTCGAAGGCTAATTATGGAGTGATTGATGCATTAATCGACGATCTTTCAAGATACACAACTGGTGAACATCGAAATGAAGAAATATTAGCCATACGACAACTCCTTCTAAAACTACTTCTTAAACTATCAACAAATCAGATTCCCGTCTCCTATTTTAGTGATCTAATAGCATTGATCAAAGGTTTTGCTGGTGATCATGAAATTTGGTCTACCGTGATCCAGATCGCTGATCGTATCGACAAAGAAGATCAACCTACCAACACTGCCCCTCAAACTATTGTAGCTAAGAAAGAATATTCGACGGCCACTAAAGTCCAAAGCGCTATGGAACCAGCAGGTTATGATGCCAACGCTACTCTACTGACAATTGCGCTCAAAAGCGAGCTTAAAGGCAAGATTTATAGAAATGTCGATAAATTTTGGGAATTAAATTTCGAAAGTAAATCATGGTCGAAGACTACGACACAAATTTGGCAAAAATATAGCCAAGATTGTAAAAGTAGAAGTGGTAACGTCTTCTCAGACAACATGGATGAAAAAGCGATACGAAGCTGGATGCATGCATTTCGAGATCGTTACCTGATTCAGTTTATGAAAAGTTCGAATAAGACAGGGAAAAACCAGCCAGCTGTTCAAAGAGAACTGAGAAAATCTTATGTGCGTGGTAAATTTTGTAATACATTAAAATCAGGAGAACTCATAGGTGGTTTGAACAATTGCCAAGTGGACTTTTTTATTAAGAGTTCTGATATCGCTGACAATGTTGAACATAAATGGAGAGATGTCAGAGTCGTGGGAGAAATAACCTCTTCGAAGGAAAAGATATCTGATAAGATCCATCAGTTAATGAGGTATATGCGCGAAATCTTCTATTCGCAGCCGCTTCGTCGATTTGCGCATGGGTTCTGCTTGCACAAGAATCACATGGAGCTCTGGATTGTCGATCGGGCAGGTGCATATAGCTCTGGAGAAATAGACCTGTCGAAGAGCCATGAAAAACTCATCCGGGTATTGTCGTCATACATGCTCATGAGTGACGAGGATCTTGGATTGGACCCAATCACTAGCTACGATAGTGACGGTCGGTGTTTCGTGACCGTTCCAAACGGCATGACATCAGTGGAAAAAATTGAGGTGAACCCCTTACCTATAGCTCGGCCAGAAACCATAGCTTCGCGAGGAAACACGTGCTTAGAGACGAAGGATAGCATGTATATGCTAAAGTTCTCTTGGGGCTCTGAGATTGTGGAATCCGAGACCAAAATTTTGAAAAAAGTAAAAGGCGTGACAGGCGTCATCACTTTGAACTACTCTTCGGATCTATATAACATCGATACACACCGACACGGAATGGAATTTACAGAAGACAAAAAATTCAAGATCAATGCTGATGATGCAGCCCTCTCTTATGGCGTCGTGACGAATTCTCGGGCCAATATATCATACATTAAACGTAAACTTACTTACGCAAAGTTGTCACCGGTCGGACGACCCCTTCAATCTTCCTCAACGGTACGGGAATTTGTACGGGGCATACGAGACGCCATTATCGGCCATCGCAATTTATACGATAAAGGGATCATTCACGGTGATATCTCGGCCGGTAACATCATTCTGACTAAGGCGGACGTAACGGGTGCAAGTGAAGGGTTGCTTATTGATCTAGATATGGCTTCTTTTCGTGAGGAGATAAAAGGTAAGAAACAGCGTGAAAGGATAACCGGAACTTTAAAGTACATGGCGCTGGAACTTTTAGAAGCTATTGACGAAAAGGAAAACACCCTAAAGCAAACTTACCGTCATGATCTTGAATCATTCTTCTACGTTCTCATAACTGGATGTATGAGCTATTGTCGTAAAGAAGCTCCAAAACATCTCCAAAACTGGTATTCGTCTAACTCTACGTTGTGTTTCACATCAAAGAAAGGTGATGTCATATTTGAATTTCAAAAACAAATATTAAAGTACTTCACGCCCACGTTTGAATGTCTTCAGAAGCTGGCACGGAGTCTTCGCCAAATACTCTTTGAAGACGAATCGGTCGGATACAGGACACCGGAAGATCCAAACGTGCTGTATGAGCCTATAATCCGTGCCTTCGATGACACTATCCAGGAACTTGAAGGTGAGAAAGTTTTCAATTAACACTTAATTATATTCCTCTTATTTTAAATATTTGCTGACGTTGTCCATCATGTTCAATAGCTGATGTTCGCGAAAATAAAAAAGATGACTCTATTCGGATTTAAGCAGAGAGTAGAAAAGAATAAGATGAAAAGTGTACGGGTCCAAGGATGTACAGTTAGAGAGTTATGCTCGACGAATATTTAAAACTTTGAATTATCCTCTTCCAAAATATTAAATGATAGAACTTTGCCTCAGTTAATTGCACTGCAACTATCCGAGAAAAAGCTATCCAAGACCCGTGAAGATCTAATTGAATTGAAATGAACCTCAGTAATTACGTATTATAATGTATTGAGCATAAAGATCTAATTTTTGTTTATTAACGTGCTAGGCAATTGGCATCTTCTGCACTCCTTTGGGAGCTTGAGCAGCTGAATGGTCGTGCTTGATCAAGTTGACTATAATACAAGTGGAATAAACCGCGACCCATCTGATTGACAAAAACACATCAGACCTCACCCATGTGTGGAGCATGTCAAATCCATCACGATCCATAGAACCCGACTCTGACACACCAAAGCGCAAAATCCCACTTAGACTCGGCCACCACGCGCCCGAGATCTCTAGTTTGTACTTTTCATTCAATGCCGGTCATGATTCATCCCAATATCTCCTTATCTCGTCAAGGAGTTATTTTCTTCAATACATGCCTCATCCCGCCGCTCACGGAGGCATCCTCAGTTTTTATTCCTTTTCATCCACTAATGAAACTTCTCTTTAACCTTTCAGGCAGTTTTATAATCTCAGAAACTTTGTAGACGGCTCATCCTGTTGAGCTGGCTCGGTTGAGTTGTTAGGAGACAGGGGAACGGAGGATGGGCTGCTGGATTAGGAAAGGGTGGAAAATACAGGCTGGTGCACAGACGCTGTTCATAAACTCTACAACCTCTTCACTTGCCGAGTTTAGTGAATTAATCTATCCAAAATAATATGATACTTCACATCATCCATTAGATTGATAATATCACAGACCTGCTTTCCCATGAGGAAAACGGCCTGCTTGTTACTACCATTGTGCCATAGGCTAATGCTGAAATGCTGCGTTTAGTCTGGTCAACCAAGTCAGGAACTTCCCTAGTAACATAGTCAATGCGTTGCGATGGTTACAATGTTATGATAGCAACAGTTACTAATCAACACAAGCAATCAGTTGCTGTGTTATAGCTGTAGACTATCATACCCCTGATTGTAGTATTCGCTCTTGAGAACCTAAGGAAGGTCTAGGACTGGCTTTGTTCTGTAGCTCTTTGTCTTATAATTATTCTAGACTTTAGATTGATCCGATTATTATAAGCTTTACCTTATACCCCGACTCTGTCCCGTTCCGCCTCCGTCTTGTCTCGCCTTCGTCCCGTTCAGACCACATCCTGTTCCGTTCATATTCTGTCCCAACTACATCCGTCCCGTTCCGACCCTTTTCCTCCGAACTAGCCAACGAGCCTGACAGATAGCTGTCACCCATTGTCGAAAAGGGCAGCTGAGACACCCAAGGAGGCTATAAAACGACTCAAACTCTGAGAGGGACAGAAAGAGCGTGTATTTAGTGTCCCAGAGCGATACTTAACACGCCTACAATATGGGAACCTCAGCCTGCCGGCATCAGAAGGGCCTGGGCAGCTTTACCAACCAAAGATCGCGATGGTTACTAACAGGGCAAAATGCGACAAGGAGGAAAAAGCGGAGCAGATCATGTTTTGGCTCAGGGATCTCCCCCCAGGAACACTCTGTGTTTACTCAGATGGGTCATCGACCGCCCCAGCATACTCAGCCTATGGCTACGTCATATATAGGGGCGGTGAACTTATAGCGAGCGGTGGAAATTTCCTTCCTGGAGCGGAGATCCTTGATGCAGAAATCACCGGGGCAGTACGAGGCCTAGAGGCAGCGTTAGAAATTGTAGGTATTACAGATATCAAGGTACTCCTCGACAATCAAGAGGTGGTCAGAGCCCTCCAAAATAGCAGAGCAAATTCCTCGCAAGCAGAGGTAGTGAATTTCTGGGAACTACGCAAGACTCGACCAGCGATAGAGGTCGACTGGATTTCGGGACATAGCGGAATTCCAGGAAACGAAAAGACCGACTCGATGGCAATGTCAATCCTTGCGTCAAATAATTGGGATGGAAACATACCGGGACCAGAGTGCATCTGGGAGGAAACTCACGAAGTTCTGACTTTTGCATCTCTTAAATGCCAGCTCAACATCTGGGTACAAATACTTGCGGAAGAATGGTGGCTTAAGAGCAGATCCAGTTGGTGTGAAGATCTGAACCTACTGATGCGGAGAAAGCGTTCTCCGGAGCTAGCTCTACCTCGATGGGCATATCACCGCCTCATAGCAGCAAGGACTGGGCATGGTGACTTCGCCAGCTATCATAGACAGTTCCAACACCAGAATGAAGAAATGCTTTGCAAATGTGGCCGAGAAAAGCGGCCATGGCATTTTGCAAAGTGTCGCCCGAATATCCAGAAATGGAGGACGGAAATGAAGGAACCACGTCCTACAATCAGGGATATGATAGGGCAGGAAGGATGGCCGAAATTCTGGCGTTTTTTAACTGTAAAAAAGTGTTACAGCAAGATTGAATCGTGAACAGGAAGTGTAAAGGTCAGCTATGATGCTTCTTGGGACCGTTCGGTGTGGTACGAGGATTAAAGTGTAGTGCAGGGCACTCGCACCTTAGAAATGGTGGTTTTATTTGCTTTCAGTTTTGTGTTTCTAGGTTTCTACGAAACAACGATGTAGGTAGCGAAGAGTCATAATTAGATCTAGACTACCCGTGCCATGCCCTCTGGGTGCTGTGGTAATACCCGGTCACGATAAAAATATCATCATCATCATCCATTAGATGATATTATCAATCGTCGGTATGCACATCTAGCATCACCTTTATAGATCATCATCGTCAGTAAGAGTTCACATTTGATACCCACTAACACCCATTTAGCCACAGTTATACGCACTCAGTGTCCATCGTGTCATCAACCAGCGTGAGCGCGCCATCTCCGCGACTCACCATTGCACATGAGCCCGTGCCACTCCATCGACGGACAGCAGAGTCACAATTGCCATACACCTCACAGCTCATAACCATAATACATCCCTCCGACTTTGCCCCGTCACTGCCGTATTTCTACCCGTGGAGACCGAATATGGGTCGAAAATCTCATGACAGAGGCACTGATGCCTCAACCTTTATCGAATGCTCTACTTGATGTGCCGGCAAAATGGCGTACGTATTTCGTCGTTGGCGATTCGTCGCACCTTGAGTTATTGGTGCCCTTGGACAAGGTTGGATGAAAATAAGGCCAGCTCTTCGACTGTACCTTTACAGCGCACAATAGTTGTGAAGGATTAGATGTCTACTTTTAGCTTAAATTGCGAGTATGACCTTTGTATCTTGGAGTGCCTTGGTGTGTCGCGAGAAGAAGTAGCTGGGAAATATCTTCCAGGAAAATTCAAGATAGTGAGTGTTGTCAGCAGTTGTAATATGAACATCCGACAGGTGTTAATATCTCCATGGTTCGTATGTGGGGTATAGATGGTTGAGTTTGTTGAGTTGTGCAGTCGTGAAATCTCTGCCGGTCGGAGTTTCAACCTAAGACTTGCCAAAACCACTCCTCCCGATCGCCATCTCGACGAAAACTCCCGAATTCACCCTGTGTCGTGACTAAATCTCGGCTTTTTTAGCATATATAACTCCCAGGCTCGTAAATCACACTGTTGTAGTCTGACGCTTTTCATCCTCGGACTTCACGGTGAATAGAAATGTTATAGGGCGTGGTGACATGCGAGAAAGGAACAGTATAGCGAAAGCCACAAGCCAAACCTAGGCGATTTGACCCATTTGTTGATGGAAACATCCCTTTTGTACACAGGGGAAGAACATCATAGTTGTAAAATAACAATAGCTGGGAACTCACACATCTACATCTCCGTCATCTCACACATTGTGACCCAAAAACCTCCATCTCATTACTTTCACTCAACAACAAAGCTTCAAGAACCACCACTTAGTATTGGTGCTTGCAAATGAAATCCGAGGCATGAGTGGTCTAATTATAAATCTAGACTTCTACTTCGTACTTCATATCTGAATATGGGTCAGGGCTAGGTAGCTCCATACGCAATTAAAATCTGGTACAATAAGCCCCCTACTACTACTACTACTACAATGCTATATATTTCAGTCGCTACGCAAAACCCACGAAAATCATAGCTGGATACTGCTTGAATAGAGGTAATGGTCTCTTGTCAAGTTAGGTAGATGTTCAAGATATGATGCAATTATTGATAAGAACTGTCCGATAGATGTGCCCGTGCTCCATCATGTGTGGCTTTCATGTACTCGCTGTACACGATTTCTCGGGTCAGCATAACTCGAAAAGAACCTTCTTACATTGAGTTTTCCTACAAGAATCGAATGTATTGACTGTTAAAGATGTTAGGAATGGTGAGCAAAAAGGGGAGGTGAAAATCTACTTTGTGGTAGATGTAGCCCCTTCTTTCACGACCAAGCAATAACACTCAAGTCAACTGAGGTAACGAGCGTGATCTTATCATGGCTCCAGCAGGTGGTTGTCAAATTATTGCAGTCAAGTAAGTATTGGCAAAGCCCCTAGTCTTTGATCCTATCTATTTGAATCTTCCCTTGGAATACAGCCCTAGCAGGCTAAAAGTAGTCCAGATGCTGTATTTGAAAAGCGACACATGACTCGGAGATGATTTGCCAGCACACAATGGTTATTATTTGTAATAGGGTCGGAGACGAATGCGCAGCTTTTTTATCCCACCATTAATGATATGAGAGGATGAAGTTTATGCATGAGCTGTATACATGTATTGCAAATAATATGGCACGCTCTCTTCCCTTTTCCAACATCCCAAATTGTGTGCTCTTTGGCACTACACGGTTATGTTTGGTTATTTGACGGTATTAATCCACTAAGGTCGAGACT